TTGACTTCTTCAAATCACATAACTTCAAAAAAAACTCACGTCACGAACTTTCTCACTTTGAGTTTGATTCCTTGGTATTTTGAAAAAATAAAATTGATTTCTTCAATTTACAAACGTTTGGAGATATTTTAAACTGAATTTAAAGCAATTTTTTTTTAATTCACAAAGTGTGTTAATTTAAACTCAATATAAATTAAAAACTTTTAAAATCACTATTTTTTTCAGTTATTTTAAAATTTGAATCCCTTCTCATCCGGAAATAAAACCCAATGCCGATGTTCGAGAACCAAATGACGGGCAGATTTTCAATCCTTGGATCATCCTGATTCCCAAAAGTATGTTATATGTAGAGCAAGTGTGTCCGTAGTTAGCAGGGGTTTCAGACACACGCACGGATAAACAGACTTTGCTGTTTATTTATTTGAAAAGGACGTTTTCCTGATCTGTAAATCGGTACACACACACACACACACACACACATATATATATATATATATATATATATATATATATATATATGTGTGTGTGTGTGTGTATATATATATGTGTATTATAGCATTTCAGCGACTCTAGAGGAATCCTCAAAAATGCAAAATACACTGGAGAGCCGTTTTGTTCTATTTTGAGACTCATCGACAGTGCGCATACGCTACCGAGATTCGAACCTCAACCGTTTCGACACAACGCAAGCGTCTTACCAACGGGCCTCGGTGACGGAGAGGAAACTGAATAGACTCGATATAGCGCCGATACACACAAATTCCGTGGTGATACTCATCCAAGTCTTCATATTCCAACGGAGTGTTCCCCAAGTTCCACGTTTTTACTTACCCTCGAATCACTCCATTAGACCGAACCTCAGATATATATATATATATATATATATATATATATATATATATATATATATATATATATATATATATAGCACGCCCCAAAACATATATTTAACTGTCAATAAATAGCATAATTTAAATAAACATCTTTATGTATACACCACACATTTTCGCCTCAGTGTTTGCCTGTGTTTGGAAAAATTGCTCCTCAATGATGACAATTTGAAATTGTCGAAAATACTTGTCCTGTCAATTCCATCTAACAACAACTCCAATATAAGGATCGTATTATTCAAGGAATTCGTAGTAAGTTATTGTCTCATTAAATCTTGTTAGCGAAGTGATTTCGCCATTAATTACATTAACATTGCTAATTAATTCTTTGTATAAATTTCTTCTTTCTGATATATAATTGTTTCTTTATATATATATATATATATATATATATATATATATATATATATATATATATATATATATATATATATAAAATGTGTATTATATATAACGATAACTTGTATTACCAAACAGACCTTTTACCTTTAAACCAAGTAAATCCCAGCTTAATTTGGAAGTATAGCTGCGAAATATCCTAATATTCTCACGCGGTATAGAATCTTAATTATTAATATTATATTGTTATACTGTCATTCAGACTTTTATCCCCACCTTGATATTCTTTTTTTTTTTTTTTGTCTTTATCAATGTTTTAGCTGATCTGGTCTCGGGCCTTCCGCAGGTGTTGTGCCATCGAAATAGGCAAATCACGGATATCAGCAGTGACTTCCAGAAAATTAAAAATAAGAAGGTGCTGAAAATTTCACTGACAGTTCGTTCTTGAAGAAAGACCAAGGGTTAATCTATTTCAACTATTTGCAATTCCATATATTTTTCGCGCCCTTTCCTTTCTTTTTTTAATTTTCTTTTATTTCCCTTTTTTTTTCTTTTTTCTTTTTTTACTATTTCTTCCTCCAAATTCTAATGTTTGGTCATTGAAATACTGATTTCGAAAAAGTCAGCCATTTGGGAGTATTTTAAACTTTCGAAATGAAAAAAAAAATGTAAAATCAATTTTTCTTGAACGTGGAAACAATTTGACAAACCCTCATTAGGCTTGTCGCAGTGAAAGTTCTTAATAAACAACTTTTAATTATCTACAGCAAATAAATAAATCATTATTAAGTAGGGAGATTAGGATTCTAATGTATTGCAATATTTATTCTTTCTAGAAATAAAATAGCCAATGCATTAGCGAAATTATTTAAATATGGCAGACATTTTTGGCGGTATTTGCAAACTCGTAAATATTTAATATGTAGTCATATATAAAAATGTTTTGTTAGTTTTCTGTTGATGTTTTTATATTAAATGATTTACATTACGGAGTTTTTTCTTATATGTAGCAATTAAAATAAATATGTACATCAGGTTTTCTTCACCAGGGAGACAATTTACCCCAGGGGTGATTTCAGGGCTCTAAAGGGGGCACTCTTTTATTTTTTTACTTGTTTCTAATTAAATGTAATTTTTATCAGAATAAAATCGTTTTAAATACCCTGACCTTTTATTGAAGTTTTTGTTCATTGAAGTATGCATCAGTTCATTTATTTAATAATTAGTTACGAATTAAAACAAATTACAGTACATGTATTCAAGTTTAAAAA